TTTCTTTTACTGAGTGAAAGTTTTGGAAGTCTATTTTTCAGATGTTTTGCAATGAAAATAGCTGTTTGTGCAGTGTTCTGCTCACAAGAATACTTCTGACTGTGCTGACGAACAGCTTCTCCCAACCTGTTTTTCCCAAAGTTAGGGTGTGAAAACTCCAGGGACTTTGTTCAGCCAGAGAAAGGTATAAGCCAGGTATCCAGGGCTCCTGGATCCTGCTACCTCTGATCTCAGAAAGCAGATGAGAGAGCAGAAGGTGCACTGCACGTCATGAATGTGGAGTCTGAGTGACATACAAATGTTTATAATTGAAACAATGCTTGCATTATCATGGTAATCAGCAGGTGCTTCGTCATGGTAGACATATGAAAAGCCTTACATTATGGATTTATGATTTCTTATGGTGAAAAAAATGTTACACTGTCATTAGTTTATTGTAAACTCCCATGTAGTAATATTATAAAAAGAAGCCCACTGTATTTGTAAATATGTAAGACTGTAATATCCATCATCAGAAAGCTTACTTACACTGACAGATTTGGTATGCTTATGCCTGTCTATCTTTCACGACCTGGAGTACATAATTAAATTCTAAATATCATAAAGTCAACAAGAATTAAAGTGGAAGCTGTATATAACTTCAAAACTTCTTAGACTTGACAGCCTCCCTAAAATAAGTTCAGAGCACTAGATGAGAATGCTGCTGTTTCTGCCATTTCAGCATGTTATACCTGTTCTAGGAGGGTTTCCAAAATGTGAGCAAAACCGTGGTATTATCTGGAGGATGGTCTATTTGAGCAAATTAAGACTGGCAAATATTTAAATGAAGTTTAGCATTTAAAAGGGTTTTTTAAATATATTTCATGATTAATTATAGAAATTTGTAAGATTTTAATTGGTTACACTTTTGATTTTAAAGAAGCTGTTAAAGCAAAAGTTAAATTTGGAGGAATTTATGTTCTGCGTGGTACTTTCTAAAGCAGAACTGATAATGGAGGAGAATCAACCCTGAAGTAAATTTTAACAATAGCATTGAATACTGTGCTGCAAACACCTGTATTAAAGTAGTGGGGCAGTTTTTCCTCTTGTAGGTCATGAGACTGCTCTGTGGACTGAAAGCAATTTCTTAGTCTGTACCTCTCCTTAGTACAATTGTGAGATCAGGAAGCATAATGTGAATGTTGTATTTTATATGAACTCTTTCATACGATGCCAAAAATATATAATCTAAGAGTGGTGGCATTTTTCTTTAATATGCTTTTTCTTAAGACATCCATTAAGTTGTTCAACATTTTAGTACAACAGCATATTGTCAGTGGAAGTGCACAACAGGTAAAATGTATTCTTCAGAAAGAATACTAAAAGGTGAAAACAGTGAGATTCTGCATTGTATATTAATGTTGTGATGCAATGTTAAAAAGAAGACTGCTTTGCATGAAATGGAATTACTTTGGCTCCACATCACTTCGGAGGAAGTCAGTAAAAAAGGTGCTGGGGGATCTGCCACTCTGAGACAGAAGGCTGAATGTAGCTATAGCCTTTTTAATGTTCGTCCACAGGGAAGTGCAAGTAGGCATTGGGTAATACTTTAACATCCCAGACACAAACTCGCAATAGTCAAATCCAGATATCCTTGGATGTGATAGCTCATTTATTTCTTCACCAAATGCAAAGCCAAGAAGAGATTGTGCTAGTTAGACTTCATAACTGATAAAGACCAAGAAGGACAAGTGACAGGAAGATTACTGGATTATGTTCGTACAAACGGATTTGGGGTAAGCAAGGATAGGCCTGCAGTTTTGAAAAACTATGAGAAATAAAAGGAACTGGTTAGTGACAGTGAAGATATCAGGTATTCACCTATGGGGGATGTCTGAAATTTCTTTAACTTGAAAGCACCAAAACCAACCAACAAAACCTTGAACTTTTGATTCTGCCTGGGAGGGAAACATGAGATCCTCAGGAGCATCCCACGGGGTCCCACCAGTCACCCATCTCACCTGGTATTCTCTTCCTGACAGCAACTGCAGAAGATGCTGGTCAGGAAGAGTCCACATGGGCGTAGCCACTTTCTGCAGCCCATCCTTCTCCTGTGCCCAGCACGTGCATTGCTGTATTAGGGATGTTAGAGGGGACTACTTTCCTGCCTGGTCCTTTTAGCATCCTTTATAGACCTAAATTTGTGTTTATTATCAGCATTTTGAAGCTGTGAATACTGTCTACTTCCGTGACCTCCAGTAGCAACAAATTCCAGAAGCTCACAACTACCTGAAGAAAGAAACACTTCCTTTTGTTTGTTTTAAACTGATCTCCCAGTCCTTTCATTGAATGCCCCACCACTCTTAACAGAAAAGGACTGCAGAGTTATTGGAAGAGTCCTCATTGCAATTGTTAGCGAAGACAGTTGTGGCTTGGAGGTTAGAGGGTGTCAGTTTTAAAGGGTCCAGTATCCAGTGAGGGTGAGAGATAGAATAATACAGGACCACTAACTAAGTGAATGCCTTGCCTTTATTTGCCATAAGGATGGGGCCTTATAGAGGAGTGGAGGTAAGAGGAATAATACAATCAAAACAAAAAATCAGTTATGAGGTGGAAAAAACCCTCAAAGATCTTCAAATTCACATTATAAAAAACAGATCATTTCGGGAGCATATGAAGTTGTAGCTCGGGTAATAAAATTTTTGTTGAACCTATCAAAAGGGAAAATCTGCCTTGTAAATATAAACCACAGAATTTATGAGGGGAAAATGATCTATATCATCAGAGACACTGCTTGACCTCAGCCACACTCAAGGCTTTGAAACAATATTTGGTGGGAGATTATATTTAAGGGTGTGGATTTAATTGAAAATTGGGTAAAATCCAATACAGATTTAGGAAAGACAACTATTTACAAATTAACCTTATATTTTTTATTTTCAACAAGAGAATTGTGATAAACTTTAAAAATCAGTCATCTTCAGAAAAGTAGATGATGTAGCACCAGAAGAAAAATTATTACTTAAATCCTTGAACATAGGAATTAATGCAGCATTTGTGAGGATGAAGTCATCAGTCCTAGGTCTTGGGACTTGCCATATTTGCTATTAAATTTAACTTTAATTGTAAAAAGTTGGAGTGTGCTGGTTGAAATGGGACGGTACGATGAGGAGGCATTGTCGGGGGGGGAGGGGACGGGACACTGATGGGGAGGGGGTCTCAGAAAAGAAATTGGGGGCCCAGAGTGACAGCAATGGGATGACATTTAACAGTTTAGGGAGGAAGAGCTGATCAGATCTCTTTGATAGCTGGTGAGATCAAACCTGAGATGCTCTGAACATTTCTCATAGTCCATGTTCACGAAAGGTTTTGAGTAAACTTCATTTAGGAGTTGAAAGAAGGTTTATAAAGTGAGTTTCCACAGCAGCCTTCCATTAGCAAGGACACAAAACCTTATCTCTAGATGAGGTATGTTTACAAAAGACATTTAGCATATTTTCAGTGAGAACCACGGGAGTTTGGTCTCAATGACCCTTGTGTTGCTCAGTTTCCAATCCAAACATCAAATACTCTGTATACTGAAACTAAAAATAATGTGCAAATATAATTGCTGACAAAGTTTTTAGAAGAATCAGCAGCAGACAAGCTCTATTTTGGCTCAGATACTGTAATTATGAGATGCTGCAGGAAATTTATTCCAATAAGTGAGAAAAGAACTGTTTTTCCCAGGAAATAACATCTGGAAGGATGATACCCAGAATATATGAAAAAAAAATATTTGGGAAACTGATTCTTCTTATTTTTCTTCATTCTCATTAAAATATGCATAGTGATGTAGTGTGATTATTTGAAATAAACCCTTAGGAATATGAAAACTGTAGCTAGCAATTAAGTATTTTGTAGAAAATACAGAGAGAATAACAAGCAGTGAATTGCTTCTGCCTCATTTTCTTATGTGAATTCAGTTCCTTTTAAAAAAAACATTATTCAAGCTAAAACTGACATCAAACTGAGAATTTTCTGTGGCTCTTTCGGAGGTGAACACCAAGCAGTGAGCTCTCTGGTTTATTTGCCCTTATGAATTCAGCCTGCTGTCTCTCATCTTTGTTAAGGGCGGGGGGGGGGAGGTCAAGAAAAAAATGACAGCATGTTTTTCTGTAGCAGTGAAAGAAAAGCAGAAGCAGCCAGTCTGAATGCCACGGGTTTAGTGCTCTGGAAGTGCTTCTCTTGTGCAACTGGGCTGAGGGAGAGCCTTTTTGTTTTTTTTTTTTTATCCCAACGTCACTGCAATCAGATCTATGGGTGCAGCTCTGCTTTACCGCAGCATGATGCAGTTGTGCATAGTTCAGCGTGCTCTTCTTGGAAACAGGCGGAAGGAGAGCAGCTGACCAGAGCATGCAGAGGATATTCATTAGAGGGTGTTTTTTTTTTCCCTAAAGCTAAACAGTACGTGTGAAATTCCTCCAGCTGCAGAAGAGAAGGTTTCAGTGGGGTTTCGAGTTGATACTCGGTTCACAAGAGGAGGTGCATACGCTCGGGCTGTCAGCGTCTGATGGAAAAAAAAGCTTCAGACAGTCAGACTGCATGTTATTAAAAGCACAGCTCAGGCATCCTTTGGGAAGATACTCTAACTGTGCTTATGGAACAAGTGCTGTGGTACTGCATATGCCTTAACCGACCGGGAGAAATTTGCCCAGTTCTGGAATGGAATAGATGAAAATACATACTGAGGGGGTGAGGGAATAAAATATTCGGCAGATAGAATTAAGTACGAGCCCTGGAGGAAGAGCAAAGGACAAAAATCTCATGGTGTGTTTTTGTTGTTGTTGAGCGCCTTTTTTTTTTTTTTTTTTTTTTAATGAGCTTACCTACCATGAACGGAAGAAGTGGATGTGTGGAGACTTCATTTCCTCCTCTGACCCCTCGTTTACATCACTAACTGGTGACAGTCACATCTACATACATAGTACCTGCCACTTCAACTGCTCAGAATTATAGAAGCCTCTTTGTATGCAGCAGACATGGCTAGCCAGCAGGATTCAGGCTTCTTTGAAATCAGTATCAAATATTTACTGAAATCCTGGAGCAATAGTGAGTAGCAGAAGAGTAATCTTTTCATATTAATTACGCATTGCTTGGTAAATAGCAAGGATAAAATCTTGTATTTCTGTTTGTGTTATGTAAACCAAATAATTTTTGCTTTTGTCAGCTCTAAAAATCAGAATGTCAGAGGTTTAAATAGGTTTCATTAACTGCAAAGGCTGTAATGAGATTATACTAGATTTTGCTTGATTGAATTCTGAAGTTAGGCTGCTTTCTGGCTCTCTCTAATAGTACATTGCAGGGAGTGCATTCCAAACAGCGTTTCCTGCCTACATGTTTATTTGGTTTGTTCAGGCTTTTTCTAAATATTTTTGAAAATGCTGTTTAATCACAAGGGTGTGGCATTGCTCAGAAGTTGGGTTTTATTAATTGTGCACTGAGGACAAAAATACAATGATTATACTTAAGGTCTGAAACTCATTAGTTTAATGTGATGAAAAGCAAAACATCAGTTGCTTATAGCTGTACTTCCCACCCTCTATGCTTAATTTCAGAATCTTATGCAATATTTCCATCCAGAAAGAATCCATCTGTTTATCTAATCCAGGCTAGGTTTTGCAGAATGTAAACAAATGGCATTTCAGTCTTCTTTGGTCTTTTCAGTATTGCTGTTCCTGATTTCCATTGCTGTTTAAATCACTCACTCTTTGGATTTTTAGCAATATTATGTAATAAGATTTCCTAATAAAATTTAGTGCTTGCAAATATATTCAGATTAGGTAAGGCCATGGGAGAACTCTGGCAGAAATTTGCTTTTTCATTTAAAATACATGAACAGTACATTCCTTTTCTATAGAAGCTTTTATTAACAGTGCTAGATCTCCATAATTAACTATTTTTTAAAAGATAGAACATAATGTCTCTGGAAAAATCCAACTTGGCTACATAGGCAGTAAGGTTCTGATCATCCCACTATCTATAATTTAATAACTTCTGCATAAAAGACTAGTATTTTAAAATTCTGTGGTATAAAAAATTGCAAAATCTGCGTAATACAAGGCGTGTATCTGAATACCTGCAAAGAAATAAAAATAACACTATATTAGATGAGTGACATTCAAGGCTTGTCTTCATTAAATGATATCCATAGAAACTGTATTTTTCCAGGTCATTTGTAACCTCAGTAACACTGTACTGCTTGTTTGAATCTGTTTTTCTACCACAAGTGTGAAGCCACTGGGGAATAATACTATTACCTAAACAGCATTGCTTATCTGCCCTCCTTCTAAAATATTTAGTGCATATTCATTCAAATCACTGATCCTACAAGGACTGGAAGAGAATTTTATAATTCAGTTACTTTTTTGGACTGATGTTAATCAAATACTGAGAACATAAGCATGTATTGTGACAACACATATTTTATAACAAGCTAGTCACAGTTTATGACAGAAGAAAAACAAGTCACTTTATGGTGCAGAAATCAAATCAGTTCTGGCATTATTTTTGTAATAGGCTACTGTAACTTTAAGACTAAGTAAAATTAGCACTTAAGAATATAAATATTGCTATATTATGGAATTAAATATAACATTTAAATATTTTTTCTTTTTTCTCTACATTGAAGTATATTGAAAGTACTTCAAATCAGGAAAGATGTTCCTAGTCTGAAATTAGAAGTCCTTAAATGAAATTCCATTTTAGAGAAATGGAAATAGTAGATGAATAATTGGTATTTCTAATATTCTTTTGGCTGATAAACATGCTTTCTACTATATTTGAATAAACAGTGAGAGGAAATACAATAAATTAATCCAGGTTGACTTCAACTTGTTGCCAATTAAGTATTTTTTTTACTTTCAGTCTGGAAGGCTGTGTTCATCAATCTGTATCTATCCTTCTAGCTGAAAAACAAACAATTTGATAAGACAGTAGGGAGTTCAAAAGACCTAGGGCTTTCTTCAGCTCTGCTATGTGATGGGTGGAGCAGAGGAAAACACTTCCCTTGCTTGAGAAACTGCTGGGAAGCCTGCACATGCATGCACAGGAACATGTTTTTCAGAGAATAGGTGCTGTGTCTGCATACCCAAGAGCAGAAGTAAGCTATAAATTATGTCGTGGCTTTTACCTAGTAGAAAGAGGTCTAACATACTGTTTAAAAAAAAAAAAATAAGATTGGGTCCTACAGTATATATTTTGCTCAAATGGCAATAGTGTCAAGGTGCTGTCCATGTATGTTCTGTAAATTGGCACTTTAAAACAGTAGCTGTAAATAGCATTTATCCTTCCTGGACTTTGTAGTCCCACCAAAACCAGTCCTTTCTATTGATTTGTGTTTTGGTTTACACAGAGCATTAACTTTTTCTAATAGATTGCCAACCACACCCATTGCCCACACCATACCAGTTATTCTACCTGGGGTGACAATTTTCTGTGATTTTGCTATCTAAGGTCTTTAACAAACTAGCATTCTTGCCATGCTGGGCAGGATTTCAGTTCAGTGTCACACAGCACACATGCAGAGGTGTTCACCTGGCATGCTGCTTGGATTTTCATGTTTATCAGCCAGCTAAGGAGGCAGGTAATTTATGGGCACTGGAGTCAGTTCATTTTAGGTACCTGTTCACTGTTGTAATCAGATACAGTCGGTGGTGTGTTCTCAGTGAGCATGCACTCTTGTTCCTAGGGGATAAAAAAGCCAAGTCACAGTCTGGCCTTTGAATCATCCCACCAAAATGAGAGACCTCAAAATACTCTTCTGCGTAGCTCTCAAAACAGACTTTTGCTCTGCACGTGTCAATAAGATACCGTGCACATCATGCAGTTCTGGAAAATAGTCCTGTAATGCGTTGGAGGTAGGATCAGAATTGGGATTTTCTGGTTGGAAAATAGGAATTTTTTTGAATTTTTTTTTTTAAAGTGATACCATTTGTGTTCTGATGTTTTCTTAAATAGCCACGTATTTTTGATCAATGCTGCATTAGTTAACAAGTGCAAACTCTGCATCAGTCAACAACTACATTAATCATTTGCATGAGTTCCTCTGAAATTACTGCTAAAATGACCATGCTTACCCAAGGTGAGTAGTGCTCACTTGGGCCACTGAGGTCAAAAAGATTATGAGAATAAAATGGGGCTCACCAAAAGTAGGATGATTAAGGTCTTCTCCTCAGATTGGCTGTGGAAATATTGCAAAATACTTCTTGTAAATAAATATTTGTAAAATAACATATGAATCCAAATGTTAAGAATTTGAATCTGCTCTTTTCTTAGACTTTTTAGGTTTTTGAATGAATGGGATGATCGTTAGATTTATTCTGAATTTAATTTCCAAATGCATTTTTCAAATTCATAGTTTCAAAAAAAAATCTGGCTAGAAGTTTAAAAATCAGGCTACAAGAAGCTGGACTACCATCAGTATAAACTGAAGGAAATTCTATAATAAATTCTGCTTTTTGCAGTTTCTAGATCAGATTGGCAGTTAAGTTTATTGGGGGAAAGGCTTCTGTAGGAGAATCCAAACAGCACAGGTAGATAGGTCACTCGGGATCTCACAAGTCAGCTCTTATGTGGGCTGGTAGAAACTCCATTTCATTGTCTCCCAGTTACTAGAAAGAGATTTTAAGGTGTCTTTTTATGTAATGAAATGAGAGGGCACATGTTGCTTAGTGGACATTTTAATTTTATTTGGCACTTCTCATAGAATGGAGTTATCTTCAAGGCCTTCATTTAAGGATTACAACACTTGTTTATCTACCTTTGAATGGCAAGACGTTTTTTCTTTGTTGACTTTCATTTAAGTCAGATTCAGAATAAAGCCTTTTTCAGTACTAGGACTTCAGGTCACTTTCCCATGGCCCATACTTCCCTGTATTCTTCACATTCGCCACCATCCACATCAAAATCCTCGTATCATCATCCTCTTCACCTTTGGGCTGTACAAAGCCCATTGCACAATCCTCCTCCTACACACCCTGTGCTCCTGCATGCCCAGTCCCTGTATAGCAGGGTCTAGCAAAAGCCACTCGCTGTTTACTAGTGGTGGTAGCATTGGAGACAGCTTAATCCTGGGGGCACACAGGCACCCACATCAATTACTGCTGGCATGGCTCAAACACAACAGCATCCCAGAGCAGTCCCAGGAGGTCCTGTGGCTCCTCCACAGCTTGCTCGTCATGTACGGAGCTGAACGCCTTGCTAGCGTCCAAACAAGTTATGTTGTCAGAAGAACATCAGGCGTAAGAGAAACTTCTCAATGGCTGATGTGAAGCCTGGGGTGGGGGGGGTTGTTGGCTGCCATGTAGTCCTTCATTAAATGAATGTAATACATTTAGCAATAAAATTCAACCTTTTTACAGAGAATATTCGTGAAGCCCTGTGTTCATGAGCAAGAGAAAGGGAAAGCTGTGAGCAGTTTCTTAAGTAAAAGTCTGCATTAAGTGCAAGTTCTGTAGTGTGCTATTTTGATTTTCTAGTAAGATTTTATTGTGCAGGAAGATGATAACAGCTGTTTTTCAGGGGGTTGCTTATCTGCAGGCAAACATAGACCTGTTTATAGCTGACTACACTGTGCTGTCAGACTTCGGGATTGTAGCAAAATACCAGGGAAGGAAAGAGGCTCCTTCATGTTTCTCAGTGCTCACTTGAACAAACACGTTGACTGGAGAAGAAGAACCTGTCCTTCCCTGCCATCTGGCTTGCTCTCTCATTCCTACTCTTGCAGACCCAGAGCTGATTCAAGAAGCTGATGTGCTGCAAACTCTCCCTGCAGGGAAGGGATCAGCTCTCCCCTGCAGCTGGGGAAGGGGAGTAAGCAGTAAGTGGGAGAGCAGGCTGGCGCTGAGAGAAACTGCAGCCTGGGCTGGGACCATGCTTGGACCTTCTCCTCTTGCTTGCTACTGAGGTCTCACCCTAATACACCTGCAGAAAGCTGGCCACTTCCACAGCCTTGCCTTTAGGGAGCCCTGGGGACTAAGGTTAGCATCTGCTCAGGCCTTGGCATGTGACTCTGCCTTGGACAAAGGATGCTATTAATTCAAGCTGTCTTG